ATGCCTCCTGCCTTCCCACACAACGTGCAACCTCTTCGACTGCCCGGCCAACCCTAAGGACCTCACGCCTGAGGACCTACGGCTTCGCTTAGACAAAGTAGCCGAATTCCTTCATCTTTCTTGAAAAAATTATACTTTCATCTTTCTTAAAAAATTTTATACCATGTATTTCTGGCAAACTAGGTTAAGGGAGTAAGTTAGTACAACAACAACCTTATTTTCGACAAATCACCCAATATTGGGAACGAGAATGAAGAGTTCGAGCGCCTTCTCAGCTCCGACGACTAACACATCATCCCTTCTCCAGCTTGTGCAATGTCGTATGATACTTGCCCTTAAAAAGAGACTACCGAGACCACACAATAATATTGCGCCCAGAGAGGACGGCATTACTATCTGATGCCTTCGAGCCTCGTGTCGAAATGCAAAGGCTAGATGAAATTTTTTTAAATTCACGTTTGTGACATCACTACTTTGGGTTACGCAAATGCACGGATTTGCTAAAAGCCTAAATTTTGAAAGACTTAAGAGATTATGAGTGATTAAAGTGCCAATAAGTAGGCCTAGTAAGCAAATAAGATCGCAAAACGCACGCGCACGTCAACATTATGATGCACATTGGTAGTCCAGGAAAAGAAAAGGAGATTCAAATGGGCGGGGGGGGCGTTGATCATTTCGAAAGCTCAAAAAATATGAAATTAACAGAGATGACTGCCCCTGCTTAGCTTTACGTCCAGCTAACCCACACCACTGATCCCGAGACCGCCCACAGGCTGTTCATGCGCCGTTCGGCTTATTACAGTCACCAACACCCCCCGCCCATTTTTTTCTTAGCTGTCCACACTCATCTTGACCCCTCGGCCTGTCATCCACCAAGCAGCCAGCATGGTCTGCTGTCAACACCCTCCTTTTTGCAGGCCCATTTTGATGAGAGGGAGAGGACAATTAAATACGTCTACTTCCGGTAATTTTTTTGGCTCCGATTGAATCAGAGGCCGGTCGGCAAGAAGAGACGTGGGTTCAACGCCTGCCTTTACAAAAGGCGAATTATTTGACCGGAAATTTTAACAAATCGAGAGGAAAGGGGTTTTAAGTCAGAACTGTGACCGTAAAAACCACACCGCGTCCGCTTTAGTCTGACATAACAACCC